CCCAGAGATTGATAAGTATGACAAGTAATGCATATAAAAAGTAACTCAATTTAGCTACTCCATTGTGTATGCAAATATTTTAAACATCATGCTGTATACAATAAGTATATAGAATTTTATTTGTTAAAGAAATGAACTAGGGTCGGGACTGTGGTTCAGCAGTAGAGCTCTCCCCTAGCATGGGCGGGACCCGTTTTCAATTCTCAGCACCACATAATAATAAAGGCATTTTGTTGTGTCCATCTACAAAAAAAGATTCGATTCTCTCTCTCTCTCTCTCTCTCTCTCTCTCTCTCTCTCTCTCTCTCTCTCTCTCCCCCTTTCTAAAAAAAAATGAAATGAAGTACAAAAACTTTACCTCATTTTATTCATTTGTCTATATAAATTATCTTTCTCAAATATTTTTTCCTGATCACTATAGAAAACATTCCTCACCTTTATTCTGAATTGTAATCCACCCCTAAATTAATATGTCCAATACCAAACTATTCATGTGTATTTCAAGACACAGCATTTCAAGAGTTCTTAAGCATAAATGAAGTCATAAGGTTGGGGCCCTAAAACTGATAGATATGGTCTCCTTATATGAAGATGAAGAGATGGCAGAGCTCTCCCAGTTCACATGAGCACAAAGGAAAGACCATGTGGACAGAATGAGAAAGTGGCCATCTGGAAGGGAAGAAGAAAGTCTTACCAGAAAAAAAAAAAAAATCCACAGTTTGGTCTTGGACTTCTTCCCTCCAGAACTGTGAGAACATTGCTTTCTGTTGTTTAAGTCACCCCAGCCTTTAGTATTTTGTTGTTGTTGTAGTTTATCATAGTCTTATTAATGCCACATCCAAATTGGATCTCAAATGAATTCTAAATCATGATCATTTAGATGTTAGGGAACACTTACTTAGTTCAGTTTCTCTCAATTGGGTTCCCCTGATGCATTTTCTTTCTTCATTATTATATAATACAACTCCACGTTCAATTTTTCTGTTGCTCTTAGATTTATATGTATATGTTAGGGTTGGCTTTAACTATTCACTAAAAATACACTATTAAATTTGTACTGATTAGGGCAGTGTAAAGTGAACTTGAAGTGATTTGATACTCTGCCTCAAACATTCTGCACACTATCTGCAACCATTTATAAAGTAATTTTTTCTCTGTGAACTACATTCTCTCTGCACTGCAGTTAGAATTTTATATTGTTGTACTTGAATTTGAGGCATAGGAAATAAATTTCAGGCTGTTGTCAACATGGAAGACCCCTCCATTTTCAGTGAAAATTATTGATTAGTATATTATTTCCCTATTGCACACTAAATGGCTTCGCCTCAAATCCACAACCTTTTTCTACTTCCTGGGCATTTAGTATTTAATAGTGTTAAGAACAACTGGTGTGCGAGTTTAGCACTGAAGAAGGTAGTCTTGCTTAGAAGCATAAATATTCCTTAACTTTAACTGAGAATACTTTTTAAATTTTTTTATAGTTTTAGATGAACAGTATGCCCTTATTGTATTTTTTTTTGGGGGGAGGGGGGTGCTGGTGATCAAACTCAGTGCCTCACACACTCTAGGCAAGCACTCTGCCACTGAGCTACAGCCCCAGCCCTCGAACTGAGAATTCTTAACAACATGAAACATGAAACAACATGAAATTTTTGGTTTTTGTGTTAGTATAGAGAAAGGCATGGGAGAGTTGACATAGCAAGCCAGGACTCACCTATCCTGAAATTGAACAGACAGCTCTTTTTAATAATGTGCTTGAAGTAGAGAAACATGTATTCTTGCTATCATGTGACTAATAGGATTGAATGAAAAATCTCTGCTACTTCTATGTATTAATGAAGTACTCCAACTCTTTTACGTGACAAACTTTATAAATGATTCACTCAAGATTTTAATATTAGATTTCAAGAAAAATTTTTCTTCAACATGTTCACTGGAAGTTCATATTAACATTAAAAACAGACACATAAAAAGGAAGACAAGATTATATTTGTATTCGTTTTTGATATTGCATGTGGTATAGGTTTGGCAAACTTTTATTAAATTTGTTACTACATATATCTATTTTGTTAAATATTTTTATTTGCTACTTATTCAACAATGTTTTAAGTTCAAATGTACCAATACAGTAGAACAATTCACACCTCACAAACTACAATTTCATATTTAGAATTGGGGTAATGTTTAAAATGATAGGCTTTTCTATAAAACACATGTATGGTAAAGAAATAAGAAAAATATAGGTAATGAATCTGAGGGTAAAAACAACTGTTGAGGAGAGGAAAATTTATTCTTGATAAAATGTTCATATCTACATCATTGAGCAAAGTCCAGTTTTGATGACTCCTTAGGACAGGAACATAATGATTCACAGAAGCAAACATTAATCATAATGAAATTTCTTGTGTGTGTGTGTGTGTGTGTGTGTGTGTGTCCAATCATGGTTTCATTATGATTAGTTGTATGATTAATGCAACTATTGATGGCATGGAAATGTTGGTGCTGGTGATGGAAAATACTACTCATCACTCTTAACTACTTAGCAGTATTTTCCTCCTTTCCTTCTAGAAGTTTCTTGTCCTGGGAAAGGCTGCTATAACATGTTTTTCATTTGTTGATAGAATATACCAAAGCATATTAAGCAAAAGCATTTGATATTGAATATCTACAAAAAGTTGTCATTTAATTTATAATTTTTATTTATTTCTTTATTATTGATTTATTGTTTTGTGTTACAATACCCTCAGCTATTCTATTTTGTATTTTGAGACAAAGTCTTGCTAAGAGGCAGAGATTGGTCTTGAACTTGGAATCCTCCTGCCTCAGCTTCTTACTGAGCTGGGATTTGAAGTACACTCCACTGTGCCCAGGGAAAGTTAGCATTTCTTACTCTAATCTCTAACACTTTACTTTTTTAAAAAGTAATAGTGAAGAGTGGATTCATTTCTTTAGACTTTATAAGACTTAGTTTATTCAAAGTTCAAATTGGTACCAACTTGAGAGAAAAGGCTAAATAAATAACTGAATGGAAAGGGCCAACTGTGCTTTCCCCAAACACAGCAACTACTCTGAATGCCTCCAAGGGATAGAGTGCACAGGTAAAAATTAGGATGCACACACACACACACACTATATATATATATATATATATATATATATATATATATATATATATATATATATATATATATATATATCATCCCTGCTCAGCATATACATATGTGTGTGTGTGTGTGTATGTATGCTTAGCAGAGATTTCTAATTAAAAGCAAAATATAATTTTTTACAAGTTATGTATGATATCTTTGATTTTTGCTTTTACTCATTTAAGAATAACAATGTCGAAGAAGACATTGGGAAGCGGTACTTAAAAAGTTCTTGAAGACTGATTTATGAATGTGCTTAAGTAGATAAGAGAAAAATACAGAAAAAAATTCTCTCCAACTTCCCTTTAGTACTTAAATAATATTCTCAATTAAAAAAAAGGAGAAAAGCTACAGATAATTTGGACTGTCTTCAGTGTTTTTCAATGCCAATGAACCCTCAGTTTAATTTAGTCTTGAGACCAAGAGGTGTTCTGTAGCTATTTGACACTGCAATTAAATATGATTTTCAATTTTTCAAGTATTCTTTTCTAATTAATGGCTTCCTAATACGAGTATGCAGTTGCTGATTTGTAACTTGAAATTGCAAATCACTTAACCTCTAAAGTTCAGTAAGCCTCTAAACCTTTTAGCTTAGCTATTGATATTCTAATCATGAAATTAAAGCATCCACAGTAAGCAGATGAGCTAATGTAAGTGGTGTCCATGTTTTCTTTAGTGTAGAAATCAATAATACTATCTTGACAACTTTCAGTTCAATGATCTATCTACTGGAAATGGACTTAACTTTTAAAATAGATGTCTAAAATATGTGCTATTTGAAATAACAGCTCTATGATTCCACATTTTTAAATTTATTTTAACTGATATGTGAAAATATAGCAAATATATATATATATATATATATATATATATATAAAAATGAAATGTTGTGTTATCCTTTGACACATGTAAAAATTGTGAAATTTTAAATCAAATTAATGAATCTCCTCAAATATTTATCATTTATTTATGATGAAAACCTTAAAAATACTTTTTTTGTTGCTTTTCGATGGATATGTTATTGTTATCTATAGTACCCTAGATGCAGTACCACACCAGAGCTTCTTGCTCCTCCTCTTGTTACTCAGAATATTCATCAACATTCCCCCTATTATCCACCACTCTTGACTTCCCCAGCCTTTGTGAACCACCATATCACTCTCCACCTCTATAAGATCAAATGCTTAGATTCCATACATAGGTGGAATACATGTCTTTCTGTGCCTGGCTTATTTCATTTAACATAATGATCTATAGTTCCGTCCATGCTGCCACAAGGGACAGGGTTTAATTTCTAGGGCATATTATTATCCTCTTTGTAACACTTTTTTTTTTTAATCTCCTCATCAGTTGAGCAACACTTCAGTTGTTTCCATTTCTTGGCTATTGTGAATAGTGCCACAATGAGCAGAGGAATGCAGATGGCCTTCCACATTCTGATTTCATTTTCCTTAGATATATTTCTCTTGGAACCATTGGTTCAAAAAGTAGTTTTGTTATAAAATGTTTGAGGAACTTTCACACTAATTTCCCAAATGGATGTACTAATGTGCATTCTATCAAGCATTGAGCAAGAGTTCTGTTTTTTCCCCATCTTCACCAGATCTTGTTAGCCTCTAAGTCTTTTTGACACTAGCCATTTGTAATAGGGTGATGTGATATCTCACTGTGGTTCTGATGTGTCATTGTATGATGTTTTGATGGTAACAGTTAAATTTTCTTCAGTGGCATAATATCTCATGACATCCATGAGAAATGCCAAAATCCAAAGGAAAATAGAGTGCAGCAAATTATAGAAATGGCTTTCAACTCTGTACAGGAAGAAAGCTAGAGTCACACTGTCTTATTTTCCAGGTGCATATGTGCTCCAGGTCAAGGCCACGGATGCAGATGACCCGACCTATGGAAACAGTGCCAGAGTTGTTTACAGCATTCTTCAGGGACAACCTTATTTCTCTATTGATCCCAAGACAGGTAAATTTTTTATTAGAGAAAACATAATCACCACTCCTTCAAATATTTAAATTTTAATTAATTCTTGGCATGGAAATCACCTATTCTAATACAGCAAAAAAGATTCTGTGAGCTTCATACTGAGCAAAGAAAATAGCATCTCACCTATCTGCTATAGATAGTGACTTGTGTAAATCTAAACATTTTCACATATACTTACAACTTCTCTGGTTGTCTTATTTTAAATTTTCAAAAGTCTATTTTTTAATTCATCTGGCTAAATAACTTTTCATTCCATGTTTCTTGCCTGAATTAAATTATATTCCATTTTTAGGCTTATCAGTGCATGGAGAAATCCTATATCATCTTTGCTATCTGTATAAGTGTCATAAGTGGCTGGCTAAAGCCAAGAGAGACAGGTTTGTAATAAAGCAAAGGAGAGTGTGACAGACATGAAGACCATTGATTCTGTAGTCTGTGTCTTCAAAGCCATCACACTTCTAAAAAAACAAACAAACAAACAAACAAAAAAACAAAAAACCTAACCTAAATTGCAGATTTAAAGGCCAAATATAATATGGATAATGTAGAAAGGGCAGGAACATATGCACATGAAAGATCTTATATCCCTCCCCCTTTCTTTTGTGGTGCAGGGGATTAAACCCAAGATCTCATGCATGCTAGGCAAGTGGTCTACCACTGAGGAAACCCTCAGCCCCTATTTTCCCTTATATATGACATGAGATCTCTCTTCTTCTAAGCAGTCTGTTTTTGAACTCTAGATACGTTGTTATGGAGATTCGTCCACTCTAACCAGTGAATGAAGAAGGTATTCCATGTCAAATCATAGTTAAAGCAAAAACTCCAGGTGATAGCCATTCTATCCGCTCTTATATAGTGCAATTAAATATGTTGCAAAATAAATTGGGCACCATTAATTATGTTAGCTGAAGATAATGGGGATTGTCAACATACACTAAAATAAACTATCTTTAAAATGTGCAGATCAATTACTGTTGATGAAAAATATTAAATTTATAAATTTTAAGACACATTATGTCTATGTATATATATTTGTATACAATTTATTGATATAATCCAAATATACTTCCTAAGAGAGGTATGTGCTAAAATCTCATATGCCAATGAGATAATTTATTAATAATTAGCCATCTACTAATGTTGCCTAGAAACAAAGCATATTGTTTTTCTACTAAGTTGGAAACAAATGCAGGACCTACAGAACTTCCTGTAAATGCCCACTTCTTTCCCTTGTGATGAGGTCAATGGGGAAACAGAAGTTTTGAAGCTGAGAGTAAGATAGTGGATTTCTTCTTTGCCTAGATTAAAAAAAAAAAAAAAAGAGTTGAGAGTAAAGAGAACACATCTTTCCTTTAAGAATTCCTTTGAGAAGTGTTGTAGTTTGGATATGAGGTATTGCTACAAAACTCCTCTGTTAATGAAGTAATGTCCAGAGGTACAGTAAATGGATTGGGAGATCTGAAACCTACTAAGTTCATCTTAGTTTGAAAGGACTAGGTGGTAACTGTAAGCTGGTTGGGCATGGCTGGAGGAGACAAATGACTGGGAATGTGCCCTGCAAGGGTACATCTTCCTTTCCCCACCTCCTGCCTCCTTAGTGCAAGGAGAAGAGCAGGATTCTTTTACCATACCCTTCCTCCATGATATGCTGCCTCACCTAGGGCCCAGAGCAATGGAATTGGCCATCTATGGACTGAGACCTCTGAAACTGTGAACCTCAAATAAATTTTCCTTTCTTTAAGGTGTTCTTGTTGAGTATTTGGGGTACAGAGATAAAAGGCTAACTAAAACAAGAAGCAATTATAAGGGGAAGAGAATCCAGAAGGTCTAAACCTCCTCTGGTTTAGACAGAGTATTGTAGATTAAATGTCAGACCATGAGATGCTACCAGTGAGTGTGTGATGGGGAAGTAACCTTTAGAAGGTATTTTACAGTAAATATGGGAGTGAATGTAGGAAGATATATGCCTATATCATTATTAAACAAGATTTTTGATTATTGTTAACTGTGGGAAAATTATGTATTTTAGAAGAACAGGGAAAATTGAAGAAGAAAAAAGTTGAGGATGTTGTTCAATGAAGTTTATGTTGACACAAACTTTCCAAGAAATTACAGTGTTTTGGAAAATGGGCAGAATATATAAAGGATTGATGAAGGGACATCATCTAAAATGTATACTTTCATTAGATTGGGTCATTAGTTTTTCTTCATATATACATATATATGTGATTTTCTTAGTTGTAGGTGGACAAAATACCTATATTAATTAATTTTTTTTAATGTGATGATAAGGCTCAAATTCAGTGCCTCACATGTACTAGGTGAGTACTCTACCACTGAGCTACAACTCCAGGCCCTGGGCTATTTTTTCTTAAAAGAGTTTTAAATCATTTCCAAATTTACTTTTATGGATAATATGATAAGAAATGAAAATATGAATTACTTCAGTCTCTGAGGAGCACTCCTGAGAGACAAAAGAAAGAAAAAAAAAGTATATAGCAACTTGTGAAGAAAGAGGGTCAGTTTTAGAATACTCTCATGGGTTTGCAATTATGTACTCTATAGTGTGTTTGTGTTTATATACTAAGCATGGTGGCCAATGAAAGATGAGTGACTTCATGCTGTTAAGAAAAACTGTAGGTGATGTGGATATAATTAAAACCTAACTGAAAATAAGAAAAAAAAATATACAGAGATAAACTGAATACTTGTGTTAAGAATATACTAGCTATAGTCAAATTAATGCCATACAGATATCAGTTATGTGAGTCAAGACAAATGCTCTCCTTTTGAGTCTACTTGGGCAGTATTAACTTTAAATAAATTCTAATTCTTTTCGAAAGTATTACACTACAACATAATATATGAATACACATTACGACTTTATAATTTCATGTTTATATTTTTGTATAATGCTTATTATGTAGAACTAAATGTGAAACAATTCTGGCATAAAGTACATAATAGATTTTTGAAGCATTGATTTTCACTGGAGACAGAAGTCTTCGTAGTAGCATTGCCTCAGACCACTAGACAGGAAAAGAGTGGATGATGAGACACTTCATTAAGAGAATGAAAACTAGTTCTTCATGCACAAAAACCATTAAGAAGACTTTTTGTCAAATTTATCACCTTGTGGTAGATAAGAATAAATCAAAAATCAAGGATAATTGCAATTTCTCAGAAATACTCTCCATTTGTTCCAGCCATATAGCTTCTTTTTATGATTCCTCTTGCTGTTATTAAATAAAATGCATGAAAAGCCAATATTATCTAAAATTTTCCACATTTGAGTGTAGAGAACAGTTTAAAACAATTCTTAAAGGAAGAGTCTCATCAAAACTTCTGGTGCATAAATATTTAGGAAGAGATAAATATTTCTATATTTTGTTTATTAGACATGAGAAAATAAAATTGATGTTTTTTTTTTTTTTTTAAATTGATGTTTATACTGATATTTCACTTTGATAAGCCTTCCTAACATTTCTGAGTAGATATGGCAAGATTTTTTTTCTAAATATAAATACATGACATTAATATAAATTAATTTATTGAATGAACTAAATCAAGAAAGAGTACTTTTTAAAAGTTATTTATTTGATAATTTTTTGTCTTAACCAAGAAATAGTTTGCTATAGGTATGTTCATATATATGCCTTAAGTTATAAATAAATAATATTCATAAAAATCCAAATGTAAGTGCATCTATAAAACATGCATTGTTTTATTATATTTAATGTTTATAAGAAATTGAATTACTTATTATATCATATAATGATATATTATTATATCATAAGCTTGTATCAGCTTATTATATAAATTATAAAGCTTAATTATACTTAATGTTTAAAGAGCAACGAAAAGCCTTTATAAGTTATAAAATATTTTTATTAAAAAGCAAAATAATGTAGTATTTTATCTAGTGCATGGCATCAGAATACTGCTGATCATAGTAACCTTAATAACAGAGATATTCAATTTAGAACAAAAAATATTACTCTTAATAACTGAATCTAATGCATTAATTAATGTTCAACATTTTTAATGCATTTAGTTTTTTTTTTCCAAATGATTCCAAGTAACTAGTCTGCATTAATTAACTAGTGATTTCCATATTGTATATCTACATTGTGTATCATATGGTGATGACATTTTGTACTTTTCTAAAATATCTGAGCCCTACTTGAGGAAGCTTATTGATATCAATTTCAATATATTTGTTATTCTATAAACTTTAATATTGTCTGTATACAGGATATAAAAAATCAACATTTTAACTTTTAAATGCAAATTTTAGCAGTATTATGTACATTTACATTGTTATGCAACCAACAATGGACAGACATATTGTATAAATAAAGGTACAGATATAGATATAAAACTAGTATTCTATATCCAGAAAGTTTTGGCCAATTTATTTACATTAAATTTGAAACATGTGTCCTTTCTTTTAAATTCTTTTAGAATTTGTGTAGATATACATCATTTACATAATTTATACCAAAACAGTTAAGGGAAAATGCAGTTGCATGAGCTACTTTCTTGTTTTTTTGTCTGTTCTGATATTCCAGGCTGTGTGACCCTCCTTAGTTCATTGACCTTACCAAGATTTTTGCTCTTGAGTCTATCACCATTCATTCAGATAAAATAATCTTCAAGTCTATATCCTATGTGTTCTTATGTTTTGACTAAAATTTATTTTTTTTTTAGGTTTCAAAGTGTGTTGGTATTCTAAAGCTCATACTAATATTGCAGCATGGACCATACTGTATGTTTTGAGCCAATACTTTATAAGACCATGCAAATGCTTATGATGTCTTGTGTCTTGAAAATTATTTTCATATTGATTCAGAATATAATTTTGTAGAACTCAGATTTCTAATATCTCCATCCTTCAAGCCATTCCTTCAATATATGTTGGCCAGAGTGAATGAATTGCCAGGAAACTTTAAAACAAGGACTCGTTATGGACACACCAA